ATCTACTACTTTTTAATTTTTTTTTTTTTTTTTTTTTTTTTAAGTAATTTTGAATTATCTTCATTGCGCATAAATTAAAAACATTTACTCAAAATAGTACAAATCGCATCAGCGTGTAAAATATTAAATGCATTAAGAAAAAGTATTTTCCATTACCAAAAATCGAACGTAGCATATTAATTCTTTATAGTCTTACTTCGCAGAAAACAATTTTATCATCGATTAATATAGAGGCGGACGCTGAATGTTTTATTACAGAATTAGTTAGGATAATGTGGGGGGCTTATTGTTTTAATATTACTTACAAAGGACAAATATTGTTTAATCTATTGCACATGCTGTACTACTACAAATTAACAAGTATAATTTTATTAACTAAAACTTAATTGAGAAGAACGTGATATTTATTTATTTATTTATTTATTTTTTAAATCTTTTCTACTTTTTTATTTTTTTTAATTTGTTAAAGCTCACTCTTTCAGTTTTGGAAAATATCAAAAAACGGTCTCACGATTTTATCATTTTCAACATTGAAAAAGGCATATACAATAGTTGTTACTTGATTCGATAGAAGGCATATATTTTTTTAGTGTTGGAATATGTGTAAATACAGTCACTGCTTTTGTACGAGAGTAAGTTTATTTTACAGACTTTACATTTCGTTTATTCGTTCGCAAAAATGATCGTTCACGCTTCAACACAAAGGAAAAAAAACGAAAATTAATGTGTATATTCCTATTAAAAATTCAACGAAAGAGAAGTATAATGAAAAAAGGATAGAAAAAAAATAATATTTATAAAATTTGGGGATTCACTCTTTATTGAAGACTTCACAATTGTCCTGCTATTAAAAAAAACTTAGGAAAGGAAAAGAAAATGATTCGAATAAATCCCCAAAACAGATCGTTTATTGATCAAAAATAAGGGATGATAATAATTAAGAATTTGATTCTTTCACTTTGAATATACCAAACCATACTTGTAAGTAACTCTAAAAACTGTTCGGTGCACGCTCTACATACAAAGTGTAAGAAGTGTGTGACATTTAGAGCGTGCACACGCAGTGTGCAGTTTACAGTAACAGTGTATTTCTGCAGTCTGTGTCGTGTCATAGGCAGATGGTTTTTTTAAAGTACGCATTATAAATTATGCATACAACCTACACACCACACACTCGTTTCGCACTTCTCTCTCTCTCTCTCTCTCTCGCTCTCGCTCGCTCTCTCGCACATCACGTTTTTTTCTTTTGTGTTCACTACTTATATCTCACGTTCTCTCTCGCGTTCTCTGTCTTTCTACCTTTTTGTTTTCTGCTTACATTTTTTCGTTTTTCTCTTCTTTTTTCATGTTTTTTTTCTTTTTTAGAAGACCCTATCTATAACCCCCACATTATCTCACACAAAGACTAGCGTTTTTAAACGATCCAAAATAACTAAGGGCACTTTTAGTGGCTTATGCCCTGTGTTCTTATTTGAGTTTCATGAAAAATCTAATTCTGACCGTTGTTAAACTTTGTTGTTGTTGTTGTTACTTCTTTTTTTTCATCATTTGTATTACAGCACCTATCGACTTCTAAGAGTCCCTATTTCTTAACTAACTATGACACACTTGCCTTAATCTAAAAATTTATTACGTGCTATGCCTCGCCATCTTAAAAGTATCCGAAAACCTAATGTGTGTTCATTTTTTATTTTTTTTATTTTTTCCCCTCCCTTCTTAAACCTCGTTTATAGATGCGAACTTAATGCCTCAACATTATTTTGTTTTTTTTCTTTCTCTCCCTCTATATCCTTTTCGTTTCCTCTTTTTTTTTTCCTGAAATTTACGAAATTTTTATTCTCATTATATTATTGGTCGCACACCATATAACAATTATATCCTGGAGAGAAGAAATAAACAAAATTAAGCAGATGATGTTTTTTTTTATAATTACACGTTACTCATTCTGTCTTATGTCACAAAAAGGAATTCATGTGCAACGAAAAATAAAACGATAGGAGCTAAAATAAAAACGAGGAGTGGAAAGGATATAGTGAACAAATCATAACAAATACCAGGAGAGTCAATTACAAAAAATGGAGCACAGGGATAAATGGAAAAAAATATTCGTTTCGTTATAGCTAAAAAAAAACCTATCTCGTTTAACAATTGTAAAACAATGACTTAAAACCTTGATAAATCTAAGGACTGTACAAGTCAAAGTACGATGATGCACGTCACATTATCAGAACATCATCAAAATCAACTCAGACTCGCTTTTCTTATTATTTTTTTTTTTTTCGCTTAAGCCGACGTTCGACTAATATTACATTATTTTTTTTTTTTTGTTTCGTTACTTAAAAACACCCTAGTTTTTTTCCTTTTTATTCTCATCTTTCTACATCAGCCTACGACTACTAGTTGTGAATCTAATCTAAAAAGAGACTACGCTAGAAATTCTAGAGAAAGCTTACGGAAAGCAGCGTTGCTTGGAAACTTGTGTTCCAAAAAGAAATTGATTTTCTTTTCGTAAACCACGCCCGGCCAGCCCAAGCACCCGACCCGCGGTGCGCAGCAAGCAGTCCTTACTATTTATATTACAGTAGATAATATGTTGTAGAATAATATATATTTATTATTAATATGAATAGCCAGTCAGTCTTGACGGGTGCGAGGTGCATAGGCTGAACGGTGCCTCACCTGATGCGTTTTTCCTTTTTTTTTTTTTTTTTTTTGTTTTTTTCAACAAGGAGAGGCAGTTGTATATATAACCTAACTATCAGCTAACTATCTATCTAACTTAATTACTTATCGATTACTTCCTATCCAAAATGGTACCTAACCTATACTCATAATCAACACTAACTACACAACATCTCGCAGTGTCCTCTTTTTTCGCATATTCTATACAATAGGTTACGATGCATTCATTCTTTTCTTTCATTTTCACTCATTTTACTTTCTCTCTTATCTCACGTTCTATTTTTTTTCTCTCATTCAACTTTTTTTTTCCTTTTCACACACATTTTCTTTTTATCCTTCGTTCACGCACTTTCATTCATTCTTTCAAATTTCTTTCACTCTGCTTCTTACATCCATGACTTTCTTCACTCTCTTTTTCTCCTCTCTGCCCGCTCTCCAGTGCGGCTCCGTATCTGCGGGAGCTGGCATTTTTTTTGTCGGCCGAACCATCGTTCTTCCGCTCGGTCAGCACTATAAAAATGCTGCTCTTTTTTGTTTTGGTCGTCACAATAATAATTAGTTATTTAGTACAAGTCTATTAGTAAAATTTTTCAAAATTCACTATTTAATCACATGTGATTTTTGTTGTCAGTCGTGGTGACAATCGCTTGTGCAAACAATTACACACTCGCAAATAGGTTTTCCCTTTCGCTTTTCTTTCGTTCTCTCGCTCTCTTATTCTTTTTTTCTCTCTTAATGCATGGACTCAAATCGAGTAATAATCGGTCTCTTAAAAAATAGCTCATACCATTTTTTTCATCTTTTATCTCTTGTCATCAAATCGTGATGTACCAAAATAAACTAAATATATTATTTACTTCAAGTCTCAACAGTGTAAAAATCTTTCATACTTTAGATGACGTCAATAATAGTAATCATTAATTATAATAATACAGCATATTATTGTAATATTATAATAATAGCTACGATCGCCTCTAACTCTATCTAACTACCTGCCCGCCACTTCGAGCCCATAGCTCGCAATATTTGGTAGAAAGCTTTCTGCTAATCGTTCCTCGACTCGATCTAAGTCAGACAACGTGAAAACTGTACCGGATGTAAAAACGGGCTTAGAGGAACGCAGGAGAGAAGGGTGTTTTTTTCTTTTTCTAATCTTTTCTCTCTCTCTTTCTCTCTTTTTCGAGATATCACATAGATAGAAAATCCTCGATATTTTTATTTCGTTTCTTTTTGTTTCCTCGCGTTCAATCCTCTCGCCTATCGTTCAGCTCCAATCCCATTATCTTTTTCGTTTTCATTTGTAACACGATTTTATTCGTTCGTTCGATATAATAAATTAATTTATACTCTACCTATCATATTCCGTTGTAACAAGCCTACTCTGTTTCTTTCTTTCATTTTCTTTCAGGCGGTGGAAATTATTCTCGGTTTACAATGATCCGCCATTTGATTTCATTTTTTTTCTTCCTAGACTTCATACAGACCGTATAGATGTTTCCGGTCCATCAATCCCATTAGTGGCAACTATACACATACAAAATCTATTCGAATTTGTAACCAAAAAACAAACGTAGTGATATTCAACTGGCTACAACGTAAAAACAATTATATTCTCTTAACTAGAAGATCAAAATTTGGCTCAAGTTTCGCATTTACATACCGACGTAAAAATATATTATAATATTTTTCAGCATATCCCTGTCTAGCGGATTTGTCTGAAAAGGCACAATTCTAAAAAAAATATCTGTATTCACTGTACAATTAAAACTGATATCGATTCGTAGTAACTGTACTCATAAATATAAATCTTCTAAAAAGTACTATGTTCCTTTCCTTCTTGTTACAATAATTACATATATCCTGAAGTTTTTTTTCTTTTAGAAATAAAGCTTTATTTTTTCTTTTTCTCTCTTAAAATCTTCATTTCTTTTTCGTCCATAAAATATATTCATTCGTGATTAAAAGAGAACGCGAAAACTGTACTTGTAAAAGTAGATAAAAATCTCCGCATGGCAATACATACATACAATATGTGCCTGGCTTGGAATGTCTGAACGAAACAGAAGAAAACAAAAAGAAATAATCTGATGAGGGTGCAGTTAGTGGATGGGGTGGTGTGTGCTGTTAAGAAAGAGCTCTTTTTTTCATTATTCGAAAAAGAGATATTAATCCATAGCTTCTTCTCTTCGCAGCGCAGCCACCGGCCAGCCAGCTGGCACGAAAGTCCAGTAGGTACTGATTTATAAGTAACTGAATCTGAATTTTATTTTTCTTTATCAACTCTAGCATTTGGAAGTGCTTTTTTTCTCTTTATATTATTATTATTATTATTTCTTGGGAAGAATTCTCCTTTGTATTTCTGAGCAGCGTTTCTTTTATAGTTTACAGTTTTTGTTAAAATATTTTATTCACACTCTCAAGCGTTCAGCTTCAACTTATCATCTCCTTAATAAATGTAATACCTAAAGTTAATCCTGGAAGCCTATTAGCTTGACACTAAACTGTTCGTCGCAGAATATCAGTTTTGTCACTGTCGTAATGATGTGTTGGCATTACAGCGTATGGAGCCGTGCTGGTGCCGAACAATGTAGATGACACGAGCACTCGTACCCCTTTCTTATGACAACATTCATTCTCTAATCGTTGGAAAATATTAACTACTTTCACCTATTTATCTGATGGATAAAATGTATAAAAGATGGCTGGCAAGTCAATTATCATGAGGAAGAATCTTATCTGACTTTATGTAATGTATTTAGTCTCATCTATTCTTCATTAATATAATCCTTCGTATCAACAGGTGTGGCTGTCCTAACTTACATACCCCTCGATGTAATCATATCTAAAATAATATAAAATAAAAAATTGATTCATTTTTAATATATAGCATATAAAAAAACAAATCATTATAAATTATTGTACCTAAAAACCATAGCCTACTTGGGCTGCTGAGCTTGATATTGTTGGTAAGAATCATCAGGAGATGCCGCATTGCTTGTTTGTTCAGAATCACCCAATGGCATGGTATGAATAATGCTAGGAGGATAAGTATAAGGATAGGGATGTGGGCTTGCTGCTATATACTGAAAAATGAAATACAAAAAGAAAATTAATATAAATATAAATTAAATAAAATAGTAAGTAAATATAAATTAATAAAAAATTAGAATTAAAATGATAAAAATACATTACTTACGGAACCAGTGCCAAGATGTAACGTAGACATTTGTGTAGTAAGTTGAGGAATCATACTGTACTGTGGGTTACTGGGATCAGCTGATGGCATCATCTGCAATATGAAATTCTTATTAAATATTTAAGTTTAAATATTTTTAAAATATAAAACGATATTTTAATTTAATATAAAAAAGAGTATAATAAAAAAAATTTTATATAATAATTATATCAAAACTTAGAAATTTTGATGATATTGAAAGACTAATATTATTTTTCATATTAAATTATAAATGAGATGCATAAAGAGAAAGAAAACAAAAAATTTGTATAAAAACTCACGTCGACCTGTTGCATATGTGGAGGGGCAGTCTGCACCAAATAAGGAGTCACCCAAGGCGTTCCTGGTACACTATAACCAGGTAAAGCTTGACCATAATGACGACTATATTGTGTTAAAGTAGCTGCGGGTAGCATATGAGTAGCTGCAACCCCATTTTGACCAACACCACTTGTATCATAATTCAAAGTCATGTTCTGTGAAAATTATACACCATAAATATTAAAATTGTATACAAAAATATTATATTTATCGTTTTTTAAATAAATAAATTACCTCTCCAGTTTCTCTCCATATTGTACTTTTGTACAATGATTTTTTTTTATTACCACCATCTGCAAATTTCACCAATAAAGGATCTTTAGCCCCTTGTAATGCTTTTCCATTAAACATCTGAATTATCTGTTCACATTTTTCTTTAGATTCCATTCTAAAATATATGTAATATAGAATATTAATAATTTTACATATAATAATTAATAACAATTAATAATTATCTTTTAAATAGACATTAACCTTGCAAATCCAACACCTTTACTCTGTCCAGCAGTATCGCGCAATATGCGCGTTGAAATAACTTGTCCATACTGAGCTAGTAAACCTTCAACATCATTTTCTTTGAAGCTCAGTGGCAAATTTGCAATATATAAATTGGTGGGGTCTTGCTCCTGTTGCTGAGAAGAGAGTAAAAGTACTATGCAACTTATTGTAGTACACTCCTGGATTTATTTTTATATTTATGTGTATATAAATATCAAAAAAATTTCATATCTATCATTTTAACATTCACAATCAAGATACATATATTTATATATTTTTATATAATTATAATTACAAATGAATGCACAGACGAGATATCATTATAATAAAAAATCAATAATTACAATAAATATCATTACAATTGTTTCACATTAGTTTAAAAAATAGATATTTTAGTTTAGAATTTTTATATTTTATCATATTTTTTAAAAAAATTTAATAGAAATTGTTGATTTGTTAAAATATTAAATAATATATTTTCATTATACATACACATTTTAACATGGAATGTTAAAATGATAATTCAAAATTAAATTCCATATCAATGTAATAATGCAAGAAATTTGAAAAACTAAAATTTTATAAATAATTTTTATAAATAAAAATATTTCATATATAACTGGTTGATTTTCTAGAAAAAAAAAACAAAAAATTGTATAAATCTACAATAAGATACTAAAAGATATAGATATAAGACTATGAAATTATAATTATTTTAATTTAATATTAAATGTATACAAATAAACACAAATACTCAAAAAGATTTATTATTAATTAAAATAATTATTATTTTTGATATTAGAAGATTATCATGCTTCATGACATTATTTTTACCATGGTTTTATGATGGTTCTCTAAATTTGCTTTATGGATGCTTAAAATTAGAACTAATGTTGATATCAAATATATTTGATATTTATATGCAAAGCATGCTCACACGCATTTGGTTTTTCATAACATTTTTTTTTATTAAATGGTATATAAAACTTAAAATTTATACTTATTACTATTCTACTAAAGTTTAATAATACATAATAATAATAACTTAAAATCAAAAAATAATAGATTTATAAAAAATTACAATAGTGAATCTCGCCTGTGCATACATTGTTTATTTAACATGAATAATCAATTTTTTTATTTCAAAACACATTTATTATTAATTTTTTTAATTAAATCATTTGTATTAAATCTCAATAGTCTTTAAAATTTTTTTTAACTAATAGTGTAGAATTTATTTATAATATTAATATTTTTTATAATTTAATTGAAATATTAAATATTTTCTATATGTATAGAATTAAATTTTTTTTTATAGAATATTCATATATATTTTTTTTAATCAAATTGTCTTTCCATTACTTCTTACATATTTTTATTTTAATAATCATTTATTCTTATTATATCTTATTATAAATACTATAAATAATGCAAGCTAACTAATCATTTATAATAAACAATACTGAAGATAACCATTCAAAGCATTAATAGAATTTCGATCACATATGACACACTGTTGGATACAAGCATGACAAAAAAGCACAGGCATGTTCACATATATACAATTATATCATGAGATAGAAATGAAAATGAGTCAAATTATCTCATAATGTTATTAAAATATATAATTCCAAAATATATGCACATACATATACATGTGTTCATGCTCAAAATTTTTTTTGCTTACGATTCCCATATAGAGAACAAAAAGACAAAAGATATATGTACATTTAATTAGAATTCAAATTTGATATTTATGCACCCTCAAGCATATTTTGAGATCCACCATTTCTCTCAAAAATCAATCAACTCTACAGTTACTTGAATATACTTATACTTTACGACAATTTACTTCAATCTTGCGAATGCATTAAAACAAAAAAATAAATAATGAAAACATTATGATATAAGCTAAGCTCATGGCATCAATATACATGTATATATATTTCTTTATTATTCTTTTTAAAAATATAAAATACATATACATATATATATATATATATATATATATATATGTACATACACACATTCGCACACACGCGCGCGTGCGTGTATATGTGTGTATGTGCACATATATGTATGATAACACCATAATATAATTTAATGAATTTGTATTTCAATAAAATGATTTAATTGATCAAGTGCGAATGTGTATAAAGGATTTCGAAGATATACTATGAATCACAAAAAATATAACAATATAAAATATAATGAATTGTTCTATAACTAAAATATTTTAAGCAATTATTAAGAATTTTAGAAATTCCTAAATACACATCCTAAACTTGTTTGGTGTGCTGGTTACAATTTATTAATCAAGCCAAATGTATCAATCAAAAACAACCAACACCCCAGGATTAAGATAGCACCTGATCTTTGCATAGCATTACTAATTAGTAAGTAAATACCATGTATCCTGAATACATTTAATAATCAGTATATTATTTAATTATATCATATCACATGCGACTGACATCATCACAACTGCTGATAGCACCCCGTGCTTTTACCACGGCCAGATTAGAAGAAACATACCAAGTTAGTTTTTTTTTTAGCAATAAAAACAGAAATCAGTATTTTTTGTTGAGAATATGAGTATTTAGATATGAATAAAAAAGAAATTCAAATTTAAAAAATTTTTAAATCAAATGAATAAAAATTCTAATATTTATACATTATTAAAATAAAAGACAAACATATAGCAATAATAATTTTATTTGACAGATTGCAAAAAAATAAAATAAAATATTTTGTATTTTAATTATAATACTGTATATACTGCCATAATTGAAAGCAATTTTAATAAATTATTCTAAAGAATTTTAGAATTTCTTTTAATATGACAATAAGCTATCAATCGTTTTTAATAGAACATAAACATAAATATTTAAGTATATTAGAATAATTTGCTAAAAATTTAAATTAATGCTTAAATAAATGCAATCTTAAGACACGAATGTATTGACATAGCAGTATCAGCAATTTGTGGCCGAGGTACAGCAACAAGCATTGATAGTTTGAAAGGTATATAAGATAGAATGATAGATAGAATTGGTGAAAACTAGAGATTTTCAGACAAGTGAGATAGGTTCTGGGGAGAACTTTATATCGTTTCTATATACCTCAAATTATGCATAATTGCCTGCTACTATATTTTCACTGATAATACAATTTTATGAATATTACTATACAAATGTTAATAATTCTATTACCTATATAGATATTTATACTATAAACAAGATTTTATTATTTATAATTTTTCTTAATTTTTTTTATCAATGAAAATATAATTCATATATGAAACCACCCCTCTAGTAGCATGTTTTTTTATCTTTAAAAAAATTTCAGATATATAAAAATTTTACATTTTTTTTATAATTTTTTTTCCCTTCTCACTTGTCAATAAATTTAATTACTTTAATTTCTTTTCATGAAACTTATCATTTTTTTTTTATCTAACATTTCTATATTATTTTTACAAGACGCGAATTAAAATACTAAGAAAAAGAATCTTGTCAAATTGTCAAGATATAAATTTTATGCATTTCTAGAGGGGCTGAAAGCAGAGCAATGATGCCAATACGATGATGCCATGTTTGTCTTCCAGTTATTATTATAGAATTGAATTTAATAATTTTTAACGAATTTTTTAGAATAAATTATAGTTATATTAAATATTATTTTAATAAATATAATTTTTGTAAAATTTAAAAATATAATAAAAGTAACAACAACGTACTGAAACAAAAGTATCAATATTTATTATTTCATTAATATTTATTATATGTGATAAAAAAATTAATAATTGATTAACTTTTTTCATATAATTAACAAAATAAATATTTTATTTTAGTAATATAAAAATTTATTTGTTCATTTATTAATTTTTAATGATTTATAATTACAATTATATTATTATTATAGTTATTAATATTATTATTACTATCTTGAATATGTGTATTTAAAAAATTAAAAATAATTATTGAAAGACAATCATGATATCTATTGTGATTAAAACTCTAATATTTTTTATCTAACATTTTATATGATAAATAAAGTATATGAAAGTATATACTGTGTATATATATTTATCACAGTAATACAGGAATAAAAATTTTTTCAAATTAATGGTATTTAATAATTTTATATTAATGGAAGGACAAAGTATTATAATAATAATCAAATATAATGTAGATAGATTTGGGATCATAGAAAAATAGAAAGGTAGAAATAGAAAATGAAAAAAGGAAAAAGAAAATTAAAAATAGAGGGGAAAAGATAAAGAAAGAAAAGAAAGAGAAAAGAGGAGTTTACTGTTACTCTGGTATTACTGTACTTGCATGCACAACCAACGTACACTGGGCAGTCTAGGGAGCAACCAGATACCCACTTTCGCCATCTGCGCTTGGATGCCCTTGGCGACCAGTGCTTTCACAGCACCCTCTGCCGCCACTGGTGATTCAAAGTCTACAAATCCATAACCTATAACACAAAAATTATAATACCAATTAATAAAACTAATTTTTTATAAATTGATAAATAATGAATGACAAAAAGAGAACATAATAAAAATCTAATCACCTTTACATTTATTTGTATTTTTATCCAAAATTGCCTTTGTAGACGTAATAGTTCCATATCTGCAAAAACACAATGTATTAGAAACAATATACTTTTCTATTAGAAATATTTTTATTTAATTGTAAAATTATATTAATAATTTATTATATTGTATTAAAAATATTATTGTTTGATGTAAATGATTTTCATATTTTAAGCAATATAATAATATATAAAATTCTGATTACACGAGTTACTTACTGAGAACACATGTTAACGAGATCCTTGTCAGTAGTGTTTTGGTTGAGGCCACGAATATATAAATTTGTTTTTGACAACTGTTCTGCTTGCTGTCCTTGTATAGCATTATTGCTAAGACTTGTGCTCATTGTCCCACTTCGACTGCCGGTAGCACTGCTAGAACTACTATTAGTATTAGCTGGAGAGGAGGCTGTAGGCACCCTTTGTCCACCATACTGTAATATATTTGAAAAATCTTTTAAGTTATTATTAACATTTATTATAATATAATGGATATATATATATAAAATATATAAAAAATAGTAAATTACATTTTATATTATTTTATAAATATATAGATTCATACAAGTCTTTTTAATGATTAAATGCGAAAAATATGTAATCATATTAATAATTAATAATTGTTAAGGATCAAAACAATGTTATACAACATATAAAGAATAAATAATAGATAAAGAATAAGATAAAGAATTAATAGATATATATCATTAAACAATGTAATTGAAAGTATTTAAAAAAAAAACGTAATTTAAATTTTGAGAAGAAAGGACATCGAACGTAATAAAATAATAAAAATTATAAATATTTTATTTAGCCCCACCCAGCAAGAAAAAAGATTAAAGCTATCAAAATACAATATATAACAATCTTTTTTTTATATTTTCTATTTAAATTTTATTGAATGAGTCGGTATATTATAAAGAATAAAGTAAAAAAAAAACGATATCTATGTCTCATTTTTTAGTAAATCATATATATATATATATATATATATATATATATATATATATATATTATT